CAAAGATCCTTCTATTATTTAGAAGAAAACTAAGAAGGCAGAGGGATTCAGGTGAAGGTCAGAAAGACTTTGGCAGAGAAAAAAGAGAGGTGTTTATTTAATCATATTTTCACAGGACTCCCACTCAATTGACTCTGTGCAGTTTATAGTACCTCCTCTTTGAATTTAGCAAGACAAAAAATAACAAAAAACAAAAGAAACCAGATCTGATAATAAATAGTCATCTGAAAACAATGCCTCATCCCAAACCTAGGTTTCAGTTTTCTTTTAAAGGAAACAAAAACCTCTGAAGGTTGCCATTTCAGAGGGCATGGCTGGCAATCCCTGCAGAAATCATCTCTCCAGCTGAGTATCTAAGGCAGGGGTGTCAAACTCGCAACATCACGTGACGTGTTGTGACTTATCGTGACTTTTTGCCATTGCCGGCAATGGGGTGGGCACAGATTCGCTATGATGCATCCGGCCCACGAGCCGGCAGTTCGACACCCCTGATCTAAGGGCCTTCCTAGCTTGGAGGGGATGAAAGAATAGGAGGCCCATTCAAGGATGAGAGCTTGCAAGTGTCTGTGATTCTCCACAACACTCTTTGGAAACTACTTCCTTTCTTGCCACCACAGGTGACCTGTAAAGGCCTCTCTCATTCATAGCAGGAAGGTGAGGGCAAGCCCATCTCTCCTAAGTTAAAGTCTTATGATGTGGTTTACTCAACTCTATTTCAATATTTGCTCTTGGCTGAAGCGTGTGCTATAATATGTTGAAGGAAAAAGCTATAAGACCTTCAATATTTTTGAAGGTGCTCACAGGAGCTTTTTAAGCTATTTGGGGAACATGGACATTACAGACTTAGGCTACATATTCACAGCACAAAGACATACCACTAAGCACTTCTAGAGAATATATCTTCATGCAACTCCTGAGGCAGCCCAAAGACAGCTTTAAGGGCTCCATTTTGGAAGTGAAGTTTTCTCTCTTATTCTGGTTGAAGCTGTCCTATCTGGACAATCCATCGTACAAGGAAGAGAAGGTTTGAGGTCATCCAGTTGGGAGTTATAATATCCTTGGTCTGCTGGTCTATCAGATCTTCTGTGTCCCTTCAGGGCAGCCATCTGGCCTTAGTGACTGTTCTGCAGTGCTGGTTTAGTTGCTAGATAGACCAGAATCCTGGTTTGTGCAGCTATTATTTTCTTTTTTTAAATAGATTGGCTGAACAAGTCAGCCTAAAGGATGCACATTTCTGGAAATAACTAGCTTATCCTGGACTTCATGTGTAACTGAAGTAACTCTAAGAACAGAAGAAGGAAAGTGGCTCTGTAGATTGTGAGGTGATAAATTCCCTTCCCATTGGCTGCTGCTCCCAGACAAATCCTGATTCCTCTTTTCTCCTCCTCAAGTTATCTTAGGTAAGACCCACAACACCCCACTTTCTTAGATTTCACCTCTTTGGCAATGCTCACCCATTGATGGCATTTTTGTTGGCTGTCCCTGACATTTTCTTGGCAAATATTTTGAGAAGTGGTTTGCCACTGCTTACTTCCTGGCACTGCAAGTGAGTGACTGGCCCAAGATCCTCCAGCTAATTTTATGGCTAAAGTAGGACTAGAACTCACAGACTCCCAGTTTCTAGCTTGATGCCTTAATCAGTATACCAAACTAGTTCTACTGCAAATCCAGACAACTACTGCCCAGCAGCCAAGAGATTTTAAAAAATATCCTTTAAATCTTTGCTTCAACCTAGTGGTTGATTGAACTTAAAAAAAAAAACCCTAATTCTCTGTATAAAAGGAAAGAAAATCAAAATGCCCTGTAGAGGGTGAACCAGAGTATTGGGCATGCCAGCTGGAAGAGGTTCACAATAAGTGGGACCAGAAATTTCAGCCATGGGAGCCACAGTCATGGCCCTTGGAATATTGCACATTAAAGCTGTACGAACACCCCTTTTTGGATGTGTAGTAAGGGCACAATACAGGGACAGTAAGTTTTGAGTGGCATGAACTCCTTCTAACTCCCGGATAGGAGGCAAAGACAGCAAAAGCCGTGGTGGTGCAGTGGTTAAAATGCAGTATTGGAGGCTAACTCTGCTTACTGCCAACTGGCAACATTTCGGCACTTGATTCTCACCAGCTCAGGGTTGACTCAGTCTTTTGAGGGTGGTAAAATGACCCCGATTGTTGGGGGCAATATTCTGACTTTGCTTAGAGAGGGCTGTAAAGCACTGTGAAGTGGTATATAAGTCTAAGTGCTGCTGCTATTGCTAATGCTATGTGGGTGCTATCTGAGAGAATCAGGAATTCAGTGTAAGGCAGTATTGCTGTCAAGGGATGAAAGCCTCATTCTGGTTTCATGACTTGCAACTTAGTATTTTGTCAAGGTAATGATTTAGAAGCTAACCAGCTTGTATAATTTGAGATGAATGATGCAATGATAGGACTCAGCAGAAGTCTGTATCCCTTTAAGAGCTTGAGTATAAAAAGGAAAGGCCTTGCTAGAGTCTTTCTTGTTTGTTTCCTGCTGTAATTGCTGTGTATTAGAGTTTGCTGAATGACCACATGTATGTATCTTGTTTTTAGTGTATTATAGATAGTAATATAAACCACATTTAATACAAACCACTGTTTACTGTATTTATACCTGGGTTACCTTAGCGCAATAAGACTGCATGCTCCGACATATTTTTGATATTGCCAGAATCAATCCAGTGATTTTCTCAGATGTAAAACATTCAGCTCCTCTCCAATATATTACATTATATATTATACATAGCTTTCCTGGGCTTGCGAACCTTGCAGGTGAAGGTCTTTTTAGAAGAAGACTTTACAAGGATGACTATGACACTGAAAGGCCTTAATGAGAACTGGATCATGGACACCACAGTGTTCTGGCTTATATGGAGGCTTCCATAAATACATAAAATCTGCCTCTGTCCAAAGTAAATGTTCAGTAAAGCACAGGATGGAAATTGGTAGAATGGCTTAGCTTGTCTGCAATTATACATTTCTGGAATCAAAGAAGGAATTAAGCTTTTAATAGATTTACAGCCCAGCCCTACAATGATTGTTCAAAAGGGAAATTGTACCTGTTTGTGTTAAGTTATGTGTCAAATTCCTCAACCCTTAAATATAACCAACCTGAGCTGATCTTGAAAAATTTAGTCGAATAAGATTTGGTAGGCAGGTCACTAGGAAATATCAGACCTGCAGGCTAGACCTGAAACTATCTCCATTCCTGGAAGAGGACAGTTGCAAAAAACTGGGGGGGGGGAGAGAACTCTACCTAAGCACATCTATTAAGGCACCAGTTACTGATTCCAACTCAAGGGAGTCTTTACACATTCATGATGGCCCAGGAGTTAGATAATGGATACACTTTGAAATGTCATCATAAAAGCCCTAATATGAGGCTATGTTTATCACTGGAACTGTATACACTTAAGGGTCCTTGCTACTCAGCAGTTTCAGCTATTCAATTTTTGTGAGCAGTGTTATCTTTCTTTTCCATGTGTGTATGTGGGGAGGAAGTTCCCAACTGTTTTAGATGTTGCCATGGAAATATTGAATTCAGAAATATCATGAATTTTAACTGTATCACTGATGTATGATCCTAGTTTATTATTTTATTTGTTAACAAATTAATACATATATACCCAGTAGCATCTACAACTACCTGTAATGGTGCCAGCACAATGATATGCATTAAGTGACACCATTCTGCCAATGTTCCACCATGTATTTGTATCCGGACAGCGGATGTAAGTACTTAAGTCATGGCATTTGTATGATGATGTTGCAACACCTAGCATTTGCTCTCCACTAATAGCATAGCGCTAACACTTAGACTTATATACCACTCCATAGTGCTCTACAACACTCTGAGCAGTTTACAAATGCCAGCATATTGCCCCCAACAATCTGGGTCCTCATTTTACCAACCTCCTGAGTCAATCTTCAGCCAGTCAAGTTCAAACTCCTGAGAGTGGGCAGAGTTAGCTTGCAATACTGCATTCTAACCATGTACCACCACGACTCAGTAATCATGTGTACATCCATGGCACATCTGTAAATGAGGAAAACTATTTATGTATCTTCCACCATTCTTCCAGGAACTCAATGTAGTTTAATGGGAATCTCCATTTTATGCTCACAACAACATGCTGTAAAATAGATTGCATGGGAAAACAGTGGGCTAAAGTTTCCAGTAGGTTGTACACTATAATCACCACACTACATATCTCTCAGTTTAAGGTTGAATTAAAATTAAGAGAAAAAGTTAAAATGGTTCCTTGCAAAGACTCAAGATGTGAAAAGAGCTGAAGGTATTTATCACCCTGAAGATGTTTCTTTACTGCTGCTTACAGAATATCAGAGTCAAGTGAGGTTCAGTTTATCATCAACAAGGAAACACCATTCATTCATTTTATAAAAAGTGCAGTCATTGTGGTCATTGCTCCAGGACACTTCCAGTAGAAAGCAATCTCTACAAATAACACAAAAGTAAGATAACTAAGCCCAGATGTTTGAAGGTGCCAATGAAATCTTCCCAAAAGCAAATTGGAAATATTGCAAAGAGGTCTTGTTCCATGACAGAAGATGCATTTGAACCAGACTCTCTCTGGTTTTAGTCCATCGGTAACCTGCTGATAAAATGTAATGGATGGGGAGTGCAGGAAGAGGAAAGGGGAAAATGTGTGCATGAAATCTAAACCAATCAGCAGCATTTTCAGAGGTATTAATACCACCATGGAGAAGATTCAGGGAACTTTTCTTTACTGACTACGGAAGACGGTTCCCAGCCACTTTTTAAAAATAATTTGCCTTCTCTTCTGTCTGTGAAAGAGATACCTCTGTGGATAGCTATTACAGCACAAATCTCTACTTGCTCAGAAATCCACACTGCGTAAATCCAGGGGTGCCTCTCTGCTGGCTGAGAAGGTAATTTAGGAAGAAGGCGGCTTTACCTACCAGCCAGACCTCCCCCTCCCTACCCCCTCAGTCTGTTGCAGCATCTCTGACTGCCTGTGACATCATTGCTGACAGAAGCCAATAAGACCACTTTCCCCCTTTCTCTGGGATACAGCCTGTGGTGGAGCTGAGCAGCCAGGCTAAGCGAGCTGTTATCCATGTTCAGCCCGTCTGGCTGATGCAGCGGACGGTTCAGTTGCTAGGGACCTGAGGGCCTGGGAGCACATACGCCAGCTGGCTCCCATGCAGGGAATGGGGAACTTCCGGCTGGGCAGAAGGACTGTGATGTACACAGTGGAAACTATTCCCAAAGGGAAGAACCGAGTGCTGGGGGTGAGTGACAGAAGCTTGGGAGAACCCCCTCTGGGCAGGGAGCTGGGTTGGGCAAGGTTGGGGGGAGGGATAGAAGAGTTGGGGGTGGGTTTCTCCTGCATGGTACTGGCCCTCTTGATTTAGGCTAAGCAGTGTGATTCTCTGGTGCATGTGCATATGTGTAAATGAGGGGTGCATTTGGAATGAGAGAAAAGCTTTAAACTATATCAATGTAAAGAAGCTGGGAATCAATCATGTCCCCACTTAGGGAAAATAATGACCCATTTGGCTAGAACACCTTCCTGAGAATAGCTCTTCTGCCAACAGATGTAGATTTGTATGCATTCCAATACTAAAGGGCCCCAGAAGTAGGAATGAAGCCTGGTGCCAGGAAGGAGAGCAAGAAATGATCCGACTGACCCACAACTTCAGAATTGCTCTCTGTTATGAAGACTGGGCACTATCTTCAGTATCTGGCTTGGGGCAGCAGAAGAACGAACAGCCCAAGATTAAAGACTGAAGTCAATGCCCTAAGAAGTACATAGGAGAAATGGATAATGTCATTCTAGGAAGAAAATGTATTAAAATGCAGTTGAAAGCTGCCGACAGAGACACTGTTCAAGCTGAACATTGCTGTGTAGTATATAAATGGAACCTGTTTGTTCAGAGGTGGTTTGGCTCTGAATACCAAATATTAAGCCCAGCCACCTAAAAATGCCCACCATTTCTATGCCTTTTTAAGCTTCCACAAGTATTCTGTTAATGGAAAAGTTAGGCTACATGGGTCCTAATTGGGAGAACACTTCCAGTAATAGGTTAATCAAGGTTCTGGACTGTCCAGAAAACTAATCCAACAGTCCCTCTATTTGTAATTACACATGCCCAGAGAGATGATTTTTATTTTTTAATCCATATTATCCACACAGTGCTCAGCCTACTTTTTTTTAAAAAGGCTGAAATTAAAATTTATTAAGTTTTAATTTAAAAAAACCCCTGATCTTCAAGAAGTAGAGACAAGGTTTGTGCAAATCTGCCATAGCTTGTATAAATTAAGCCAAAATAGCATTCTTTTAACCCTCCCTGCCACCACCCTCCATTTTTTCTTCCCTGTCTCCCCCACAGTGATAAATAATTGGGGGAAATAAAAGCATTTAGAACTGTTCTTCAAGAGCACATGACAAGTAGCTCTGTCGAGGTTTCTTTTTCTGGAGACAAAATACATTTAAAGATTGGAGCTTAAGCATAAAACCATTTCCATTTGTATTTGTACAGAAATCGCTATGCACTCTCTACAGGGTATCAGCCGTGCAGAAATACTGAATAAATAAAGGGAAATCCAGCAACTGAGCCAGTGCTTTTTTTGCTACTACAGAAGCACATAAAGGTGCTTTTTCTAAGAATAGGTGCGGTATTCTGTTGGGATTGCCCAGATCACAACCACTAAGTCCCTTTTTGAAGGCAACAGAGCCTCTAACTGGGATGACTGGGATTGTGAAATATCAGATAGGCTGTGAGATTGCTCTGGATCCAAATACAGAAAGAAAAAGAAAAAGCTCAGGTTGGAAAAAGCAGTGACAGCACATTGCCTTGTTTTTCCAAGCTGTGCTCAGGTGGAAGGAACTATATATTCACTTTTTCTTCTCAGCTAATTGAGAAGTTGGCTTGTTTTCTCTTTCAGTGCATCAAAGCGTTAAAATGAAGATGATATTCCAAAAGAAATAAGGGATGCAGATTATATAATTAACAAAAAACAAAAGAAGACAATAAATATCATGTTATTATTTTTTTTAAAAGAAAATCCAGAAAGTTTGATCAGGGTTATCCTAACATTTTTCCCATTAGTTGATGGCAGATTCTATCTGTTTTTGAACCGGATATTCTGCCTAAAAAAATGTTCCATGCACACACAAAGCAGAAGGTAGATCTGCCTAGGCAAAAGTATATTCTACTGTCACATTTAGCAATAATCATTTTACGGAGAAGCACCAGGCCTAGTGGGGAAGATGCCAGCAGATGGCTTGTTCTCCCTCACAGTTGCCATTCCAGATCCTCTCTGCTTATGAGCAATTCCATGCCTTTGTCTTTCTGTTGCTCACTGTCTTTCAGCTTGCCCTGGACAAAGGAATGCCTAAAGACATCAATATGGCCTGTTGCCACTTTAGATACGTTCTGACTGATTTGCTTTGACTGGCATTTGCTCTCCTAGACAGCTGCCAACCTCATCTGATGCATCAGTATCTCTTAACTTAGAAAAATTAATCAAGCAATCCCAAAGCTACCAGACTCAGTTGTCTGGTGTTTGCTGACTCTAATCCAGTATCTTTTGCACATGTTACCATGAGGATAATGAGAAATTTTCCCATATATAATCCACCCAAACACTGTTGTCAGCCTGGCTGGCAACACTAGAGTAACTACATAGCTTTTACCCAAACATTGGACTCTCTTCTGAAAATTCTGCCTTCTTTCTTCCTCCTTCCCCTTCCCCTTATCCATCCATCTATCCATCCCCAAAGCATTGGATTTTTTTATAAAAAAGACCCACAATAAACAAACAAAGAAACAAAAATTACACTACAACAGAACAAAACAAAAATAGAAAAACCGAATCCCTGTTTAATTTTGCATAAAAATTCATTTGCCATCTAAAGAAGAGAAATGAAATTTTAAACACCCATATTCCATATTTGTATCCAGAAGGACACTTCTACAGACAGAGGCAATATATTAAGAATTCCTTCACAAAGAGAAGTAAAATGTAACAATCAAATAGAAATAAGTGTTTCCTCTCCTTAGTGCAATGAAGCTTGCTCCAGTTGAATAATTCAGAATTTCTCAATTTATTAATGGATTTTGAATGCAACTAATAAAATTTCCATCCAATTATCCCCTGAAATAATAAGCAAGACTGTTGCATCCAAAATAATTGATCTTAAATTATTAAATTTAACTTTAATTTGATAATATCTATGGGATATTATGAGTGATGAAATTGATGTTATAAAAATAACATAGATTGACACAAATGATATACTTTGAATTTTAACAGACACTTGAGAATACCAGACATTCTCTCCCCAATTATAGTAAATCAAGGGCTTGTTGTATTATTCTTCTGTATTTGTCTACTCTAGATCTTTGATTATTGTCAAAAGAGGCCAAAAATAAAGACAGGAGTGCTCAAATCAACCTAGGCCAGCTGGCAGTAAAAAGCTGCTCCTGAAAAGTCTTCTCCTGGCATCTTCTCAGAAGCTCCAAGTAGCTTCAACAACCATTGTTATGACTCCCAATGTCTCCCCTGTGAGGTCTATATAAACCATCAACCAAAGTACAAAGGCTATAATTTTTTTTTCATGTGTACTATATGAAGGGGATCTGTTCCCATCCTCCATATCCTAAAAATATGAATACTATATTTGTGAAATTTGGGTTGAATGAAAAGCTGGATTTTAACACAATCCTTATATTCTCTATGGCAACCTTCTTCACCACAGAGAATTACTTTGCTTGGCTGCTTAGGAAATAGTGAAGACTGAAGCTGTAAGCCAGGAAGGGCCACATTATAATTGGTTGATCTACGGCAACAATGCAGCCAATAAAAAGGCCTAAGGTGTTCCCTGTGTGAAGAGGATCTATGTTTACTTGTCAAAGTTCAGATCCTTTTCCACAGCACTATGATGCATCTGAAGATGGTCCATCAGGCAACTACAGACTGGCCCCAAGCAGATAGGAACACCAGAATGCTCCCATATATTCCTCCTTTCATAAAGACTAGGTGACTCCAATATAACCAGTTAGGCACAGCTAGTGTAAAACCATTCTATGACCTCTGACTGACCCTGTTTGAGCTAAGGACCATATAATGAGGAGATCAGAGCACCGAGAGCCTTAGAAGTAGTTCAGTTCATTCTACAAACTCTTCTGGGCTAATGAGCCTTCCCAAACCTCAGACACAGAGTCACCTGGATTTTATTATTTATTTAGTTTTTCAAATTTATATACAGGTAGTCCTCGGCTTATGATGGCAATAGGGACCAGAATTGCTATCGCTAAGCGATTCAGGCATAAAGTGCAATGTCATATGACCATGTCACTTACTGATGGCAATTCCAGCAATCCAATTGCTATCATTAAATGAGGACTGTGCAGGTCATTAAGCACAGATCTTGGGAGAATGCATTAGAACAGTGATGGCAAACGTTTTAGAGACCGAGTGCCCCAAAACTGGCCCGGCCCCCGATCCACCCCCTGCCCTGCCCCCGATCCACCCCCACCCCACCTACCCGCAGGGCATCTCACCACCTCCAGGGCCTGCTGCAGATCACCCAACAGTGCCATGGTGGCCATGCCTTCTGCCCACACCCCTCAGCATCAACTGTGCACGATGGGGTGTGAGGGCAGAGTCTTATCTACGCTGCCTGGCTGCCATGTTCTTGGCTGCACTGCTCCACATGGCCCACGCTCAGGGGCGACTCTCCTCCAGGGGGGCTGCTGGTGAGGGGGTTGCAGGGGAAAGCAAGGCTGGGGCAACGGCACATGTGCCCACAGAGAGGGCTCCAAGTGTCGCCTCTGGCACCCATGCCATAGGTTCGCCACCACTGCATTAGAATCTCACACATAGTACAGCCAACTTGTAGGGTCCCTGTTATTGAAGGGATCCCCAGGCCTGCTCAAAAACATCTCCTTTTAAGAGATTTGCAGAAGGACTGGGGCTAACTTTGGAGGGGATATCTACTAGTTGCTGCCAAAATTAATGGTTAATTAAACAGATTTATAAACCCCAGATTTCTTTTCACTAGCAGTCATAAATTATTCTCACTAATCTTTAGGAGCTCTTAGAAGCTGATGATCTGCAACCTAAAATTGAGGGCAGCAGTGAGGAGAGAGAAGTGCCCGGTTAGTGGAAAGAGGCTCCAGGTGTAACTTCCCAAACATTTGGCTAAACTGGGTAGGAGATGAAGGGTGAAATCGGACAACTCGCCATGGGCAACTTGACATGGCCAAATCACCACAGCCAATTCGCCAAAGGACAACTCATTTTGGGACAGTTCAACAATTCAATTTAATTATTTAAAATAATTTTTAAAATATTTTAATTTTTGTCATTCGCATTTCATTTTGTTCCTCCTTTGGCTTCCTTTAATGATTCTATTCCACTATTTCAGATACGTCAAACTCACGACGTCACATGACGTTGCGCCACATATCAGGCCGATTTTGCCATTGCCGGCAATGGGGTTGGGCATGGCTTTCGGATGATGCGTCCGGCCCGTGGGCTGGCAGTTTGATACCCCTGCACTATTTCTTCAATATTAGGGTAACTCTTGTCCCATAGCATCCCACGGCAAATTTTCCCGTGGTGAATTGGCCGTGGTGAGTCGGCTGGGGCGAGTTGGCTGTGGAGAGTTGGCTGTGGCAAGTTGGCCGGGGTGAATCGGGGAGGTGAGCTCCTACACATCTCTAAATCTCCAGGATGGCAAAGGCTGCTTTAAGATAAAATAGGTGGTAGCCATATGGGACAGGAGATTCTCAGTGCCAACCCTTTGAAGTCAGTGTAATCATTCAAGGGTGTGTGTGTGTGTGTGTGTGTGTGTGTGTGCATGTGCATGTGTAACTTTAATCCATCCAGTGCCGAGTATTATCCCCCTGATTGTTCCCACAGACCATCCAGATCATGACTGGCTTCATACACATTAGCTTTGGGATCATTCTCAGCACCCTGTCCAGTGTATATACCTCATTCTTTGTATCTGGAGAGATTCCCTTCTTGGGAGGAGCATCCGTGAGTATCACAGACCAGAGAAAATCCCTTTCCCTCCAGATAGGTGGGGAGAGGTGGAAGAACAGGTGGGCAGGAGACAGAGAGATTATATGAAGAAGGGAGGAAGGGTGGTGGGAGGTCCGGGTGAGAAACAGACAAGACATCAGGCACTGAAGGAAATAGTTCCTGGATTATGTGATTAACTAAACAGGTACTCCTCGACTTACAACAGTTCATTTGGTGACCGTTCAAAGTTACAATGGCACTGAAAAAAGTGACTTATGACTGTTTTTTTATAGTTACAACCTTTGCAGTATCCCCATGATCACGTGATCAAAATTCAGATGCTTGGTTCATATTTATGACCGTTGCTGTATCCCAGGGCCATGTGATCACCTTTTGCGACCTTCTCATAAGCAAATTCAATGGGGGAGCCAGATTCACTTAACAACTGAGTTACTAACTTATCAGTTGCAATGATTCACTTAACAACGGAGGCAAAAAAAGGTCTTAAAATGGGGCAAAACTCAGTTAACAAATGCCTTACTTAGCAACTCAAGTGCTCGTAAGTCAAGGATTACCTGTACATTTCCTTCTCAATGAGTTCAGTGATGCTTCCTCCCCTCTCAACCAGCACTGGCTGAGATTTCTGTCAATGTTGTGGAAGCTTCAGAGGCCTGCCTGATTTCTTCAAAAGGGTCTGATCTGTCATGAGTCATCATTAGTTCTTGCTGAAAACTGTCCTGTCTGTTCAAAAAAAATAGGCTGTGAAGTTGTGTGTCCTTCCTTCTTTCCTTCGTTTTGAAGCGTCCACATTTTTAGTTTGTAATTTTTTTTTATTATATACCTATCATGTCTCTTGCTAAACTGAAGTACTTTCACTTTTGCCCAAATGTCTTTTTTTCCATTTTGTTAAAAGCATCATTAGTTTGAGGAGGAAATATTATTCTCCTAAAAAAAGGGAAAGGAGTATAAATTCTAAATATAATCACCATAGTTCTGAGATTTTATAGCATTAGGAGGTGGATTCAGTTTCATGCCAAAGAAACATATCCTGTTTTTCTTCTACTACATGCTGATCACTTGCTTTAAAATGCAATTTCAATATGCTGCATGTATGAAAGAACCACAGAGTTGGATGCGGCCTAAGTGGACATCAAGTCAACCCCCTCCCCCCCGCATATTGCAGAATTCACCCTTAACTGATGACTATCCAGCCTCTAATTGAAAACCTGCACTGAAGGGGAAGAATTCAGTCCCACTGATTGACAGTTTTTACTGTCAGGAAGTTCTTTGGAATATCCAATCTGTCTCTAAATCCTGGAAGTTTCATCCCATTGATTCTAGTCTTTTCCTCCTGAACAATTGGAAATTGCTATAGTCTATCAAGTATTTGAAGACAGCAATCATATCCCTTCTCAGGCTAAATATTTCTAGATCCACTCCTCTTGGGCTTGATTTCCAATCCTTTCACAGTCTTGGTTGCCCTTCTCTCCATTTGCTCCAGTTTGTTAATATGCCTTTTAAACTGGGGAGATGCGAAGAGGTAGGTCACAAATTGCAAAATTACAATTCCTTTTTTTTTTTTAAGGACAGCTTATTTCCCCTCCCAGAAGGTTGTCACTTAAAATACTCTTCCACACATATACATTTGTGTCATTTAGGGATCAGTTGTGTATCTATACTATCTTTTGGAGTGGGCAGACCTAACAAATCATCACCAAAGCTCTCACCATCATCTATTTTGGGAGCCTAATAAGCCTGCCTCATTTTATTAGTGATAGCAACAAGGCTGGTGTTTTCCTTGGAATCACTGAAGCTTTGCAACCCTTGTAGGGAGTCTGTTTTCCTATTGGCAAGGACTCTCATATCTTCCATCTTCTGGAGTCAGAAACCACCCACTGCAATTTCTCTACCTCCCTTTCCATAGAAGTACAGCATCCTCTTCCTGTCTTTAAGCAGTGTTGATTGCTGTCCAGCTTCTCTAACCCAGCCACCATAGCAACCCTCAATCATTGTCCCTGCTGTTGGGAAAAGAGCCCACAAATTGCAAAACTGCTACCTTTTCACACAGCAGAACAGCAGTTGAAAAACCTTGCTGAGATTTCAGTACCTTGTTGACATTTTTTAAAACTCAGACCCCCTCCCCAGGTCCTCTTTCTATAGCTTCCAAGAGCAAACCTTCAAGGGTTTTTTTTTTTTTTTTCCAATTCACCTGAAAAATATGTACTCAAAAAGTTTGGGGGAAAGTATAGAAATTCATTTTATTTAAATTCAGAGTAAAGTGAGGGATGAGATATTAATATCAATATTAATGTATCATTTTCCTCTTAAATTTTTGGCAATTTTCCTGTGAGCACAATCAGAATGCTTCATCAAACAGTTGGTGTCATGTGTGGAGATTTCAGGGATTGGAATCAGCCCAGCACTCATTCACTAGCTAAAGTGTGGGGTTGGTATGACTGGACACTATTTCCCAGGATTATTCTGTTTGGGGCAATGGGAGAGTCCAGATCTTACAAATTTGCCTCTCACCTGTACTCACCTGATCTCTGAGTCAATTCTGGTCTCGGAGATCTGGCTTTGACAGAATGATCCCTCCAACTCACCATGGAAGGAGGGATGAGCCATGAAATGGGAAGGAGACTCTAGCTGCATCAGACCACTCCTCTGCAAACCTGCCAGCCATTGCTCTTGGGCTTAGTGCAGCAGTTTTAGCAAGTTTAAAGAGCTCAGGTTATCCTTGCTCTCTACAGGTAGCTGATGCCAAGGCTGAAAGAAGGCAACTCTTCCAAAGACCTGGCTCTCTGATCCTATGGAATAGTGTTCTGCGGGATCAAAGGCAGATGACTCCGAGTTTGGGAGATCTGAAAGGTGAAGGCAGGAGAATGGCTAAACCCATAGATCTAATTGTTTGATCATCCCCCATCACTTCATTTTTAGCTTATCAAGAGCACTTCTGCCAAATCTGGATGCAAACACACCTTGGCAATTTGTTATTTCTTTTGTGTTCCCTTTGCCTTATAAGCAGTCCTGAATGACAGATATAAGTCACCCTTAGTTACCTTTTGTTCAAATAATGTCCTCTCCTTTGTTCTCATAAAATGTTCAGGGTGTGGAAATTCTTTCTCACCCATTTTTGAAGAGGAATCAGGTGATGGCAGTGCACTGAACCAGAAGCAATAGAGGCAGGATAGGAGTGAGTAATGGAGAGAACAAATTTTAAGCCAGTATAGTTTTCTGATGCCTCAGGAATGTGTGGGGAACACTTTAATTCAGTAATGTGAAAGGTCTTGGTCACATATGGACTGCAAATGGTGCCAACTGGTTTGCAGTATGAACAGAACTTCATTCGTACTAGAAATGTTTCTGGGTCCACACTGGATGATTTTGGGTCAGTCAGTACTTAACCTAACCCACCCACCCCACCTGATATGGGCATAAAATAAAGGGAAATCCCTCTGTAAGATGCCTTGAGCTCTTAGAGAAGAGCTGAAGTATAAATATAAGAAGTAAATAACTGTGATTTAGCTATCATCTCTGGGTTGCCTGAATAGTCACTGTTGCTGTTTCCTCATTCAATCACATTGACTGTTGTTGCCCTGATAAGCATCATGTTGCCACAATTGTCTGTTAACAGTTGTTTCTTTAAGTTCTTGTAATCTCTTACTTGTATCATCTGAGAGGATATCCAACCACCTTGTCTTTGGTCAACCAGTTTGTTCTAAGCATGGGGGTCTTCTCCAGTGACCTTTGGATAAGATGTCCGAGGTGGCGCAGCAGTTAGAGTGCAGTACTGCAGGCCACTTTAGTAGCTGACTGTGTTCAGCAGGTCAGCAGTTCAAATCTCACCGGCTCAAGGTTGACTCAGCCTTCCATCCTTCCGGGGTAGGTAAAATGAGGACCCAGATTGTTGGAGGCAATGTAAATATATATATACATTGCTTATTGGTGTACACCGCTTAGAGAGTGCTTGCATTTAAAGCGGTATATTAATCTCATAAATAAATAAATAAATAAATAAATAAATAAATAAAATGTCCAACATAGCTACACTTTAGCTTCATTATTAATGCTTCCAATGGGCAGTCTACTTTAACTTCATCTAATACTGAATGGTTTATATACTCTTCTTGTGGTCCAAGGTGTCTGCAGTAATTTTTCCAAACCACAATTCAGAAGCATCCTTTTTCTTTATTCATAGAGTATGTTTCAGCTGAGAAAATCATGTCCTTGATAATTCATACTTTTGTGGTGAATGGGACATTTCTTCATTTTAATGTCAACTAGGTGATTATTGGACACAGCAGAATGATATAGAAACTGCTAGCTCTCTACTGCACCTACTTGTTGTCTAATTGTTTGCAGCTCAGATATAACTCTAGCACAGCCTTTTGGTTCTATTACTGCAATTTTGGGGCAAAATTGCCAATCATCTTCTCTATAGTGAATTGGATGTCAGCATACAACTATCCTGGAAAAGTTTCAACATGTTCTCTCACTTGGATTATTTAATTTATTTATTTTTCACTCATGTAGAATGCAAAATACTTTAATCTCCATTCAGGGGGCTATGTACTACCACCAGCTCTTGTGCCACCTAAACCTAATTCTTAGAATACAAATCTTAGTAGATTTAATTTAATTTGAAATAAACAGCTTTAAGGTCAGGGCTAATGAACACATATGAGGGCCTTCTATTTATTTTGTTCACAAAATGACTTTCGTTTGTGGACAAAATCCAGTCAATCCAGAAAGTGGCAAAATGTCCTCTTATCAAATGTTTATTTGGCATTTGACTTGGAACTGCCCTGTCTTGCAACACACACACATAAACACAAACACACACTGTTTCACTATTTCCTCATTCTTGTTGTGCCTTTTCATCCTAGAAATTAAGCTCTGTTCTTTATTTTGTTTTATTAAATACTATACTATAATAGCATTCCTATATATCCCGATGCATTGGATGCAGAGAGAGAGTGAAAAAAAATTGAAAAAGGACCTGTCAGATGATGTAACCAATAATTTGAACATCCTCTAAGAATAATTATCAGAGAGAGAGAAAAGACCAGAGATTTCAGCAAAGTCTACCTAGGCACAATGATGCCCACTTGCAAATAGAAAGATATACAGTAGAAATAATCTAATAAATATTGAATAGTGTTGTGTGGGGAGCAGGAAGGTATATCATGGAAGTTTTGTCCAAAACTTTTTGTAGTTAAGCCTTTGTTTTTATAGTGTAAATTATGTGTTCATATCTTCATGCTTAACAGCAAAGGCACTTTGCGTATAATAAGACAAACCTGGAAAGTACAATCTCTAACAGATTATACATAAACCCAGATATTTCTTTGCTAGCTTTAGGAGAACTGCATCCAGCAAATTCTGTTTGTGTGTGAAGCAGCAGTGTGAGGTACTGTCAATGCTAAGTCTGACTTCTGTTCAGTTCTGTGACTGTCATCTGAACAGTTTCACCATCAATTTCCTGCGTAGGTGTCCATATTCTTATACATGTGTTCATGTAGTTGTCTCTGTTCGCACAACTTCATTTCTCCATATGTCTCAGACCAGTTATCAGTCTGATCACCCTGGCTCACTTTTCATTAGTATCCTCCCAACATTCTTCTGTATTGTTGTATACATTCCTATATGAGGCTTAAGAGGAGGTTTGCTTAAATTAACATGCGACCTAAGTCTGAAATCAAAACTGTGACTCTCATGTTTTCCAGCAACTAATAATAATGCTGGTGCCAGGTCTGATGCTGGCTGTACCAAATGCCCTATCTTGGAACCCCTCCTTGGTCAACAGGACCCTAGCTATTGGCTTCCCTACAGGTCTGCAGATCTACTTTCCCACAGTGCTGCAGTGAAAATTAAAATGGCTAGGATGGTTATTAACTGACTAGGGGCTGACTCTGAATTTGATAATCACAACTGTGTATTTATGAAAAGTAGCAAGGGAAGAACTCAAAGACTATGTAAGCCTCATATAGAGAATTACCCAAAACTATATTAGCAAAATCGCTTCCCAAAATTCATTTATTTTCTTTATCTGACTAGGGCTGCAATGAATATTCTCTATAAATCAATACAAATTATTATTGATAAAAAGATTGGTCTCATTGAACAATCACATTTTTGTCTTCACTACCCATGTCCTCACTTGCTCAGTGCCACTGAATTTTTGCTGTGCTTATGTTGAGTAGATTTTTGCCCATGATGTTGATAAAAACTATCAGATTTACTAGCACAGCCAGTAAGGTTAAAGTGTAATGTTGGCAAATGAGGACAAGGGAGGCTAAGAAACTGGCTTTTTAATATGAAATATAAAAATATGGCAAATACTTTCATCTCAGCCCTAAAATGAATCATAACTGAGCACAGACTGTACTGTTCTATGGCTCCAAAGCAAAGAATCCATAATTTGAAGGCATGAAAATGCCTCTTAACTTCTGCCTACCAAGAGACAGAGCAGAAACAGGCTTTTTTTCAAGATCTTGGAAGAAGATGGAAGATTAGGATGGGTAGATGGATAGACAGACAGACAGACAGACAGACAGACAGACAGACAGACAGACAATATAGATGGATGTAAGACTGATTTGCCTGAAAAGGTAGACTTCTCAGATATCAGGATAGGACAATATTTTTTCATAGAGATTTGTGTATTAATAGAAAGTGTATAAGCAAATACCTTTATAGACAGCCCAGAGTCACTGAGAGTGAATTGGGCGGCCATATAAAATTTCTTAAATAAATAAATAAATAATGGAGCTAAAAGTGAAAGGTTCTCCCCATTCCTATTCTTACTGATATACCCTCTCTCTCTATTTTTATGGGATCTATTATTTTCTTTTCTTTTTTTGTCTGTCTTTTCCTCCCTGTTGTGTCAGATGAAAACCGAGTGTTTTTACTGTGGATTCAGATGGATTATTAGCAGAAGGGACTCTTATCTCCCATCCTTGGTTAAATGTTTGACCTCCAGGACAGATATTGGGTTATATCCCACTGCTTAGTTTTTCTTTCTTGACAAAGCATTTTATGGTACCAATCTTCCTCTTCATTTCTACCACGAGATTGTCTAGTGAAGTTTGGAAGGGATGTTCTCTTAATTGCAATGCAAATGTTTACTACTTTCCTTCTTTCCACACAGTTCATTGTTTCTGGATGTCTCTCAATTGGTGCTGAGAAGAGTCCTACTGAATGTGCAGTGAGTCTGCCTCACGTTGTTTTCTTTACTATGATCTGCAATTTAATGCTTTAAATACTAGAAAAGATCTCAGTGAAACAACCGCACTTGCACCCATGGGGGGAAGGAAGCAAAGGTGTGGCAACTTCATCACACAAATGCCACAGCTTACTTCTGCTGGACATGGGGATGCAAGTACATACGTGTGGGTTTTGTGTGATGATCTCACTGCATGGCTTGTTACGCTTTTGAAATCATCGGGGTTGCTGCAAATGTTGTTGATTGCCTCCCAGGAGCAAGTATGACTCCTTTAAGAAGGTTTAGAAGACACTAAATGCATGTGAGCCTCTTAGAGGAGAATATTTGAGTGGTGAGGTGGGGGTGGCAGTGTCATTAGAGTACATAGGCATTGTTCATTTGTCCTATTAAAAACCCACTACACTGTTAGAAGAGATTTTTCCATTTTTGGAGGATTTTAACTGTCTTTAGTATAGTGTTTCATATACTGTAACACCAGCTATTAGAATCAGAAGCACGGTTCCCAAAAGTACTTGTAACTTCTTCTGCCCAGAGCATTAAACTGTATTTTAGATTTTACCTTCAGACGGGTGTTCCATCACTGGAGGTTTTTAATAAGAGATTGGACAACTATTTGTCTGAAATGGTATGGGGTCTTCTACATGAGCAGGGTGTTGGACTAGAAGACCCGCAAGGTCCTTTCTGTTATTCCGTTATTCTGTTATCTGTAGCCACTATGCAGCAGCTCTTTGCCTCTGCATTTATCCAGACAGGACTCAGTAGGACTTACCTCTGAGAAATCCTCTATATGGGGAGGAGATACAGAGGTTCTAGTTTTTCTTAGTGATTATATTTCTAGAAAGAAGCAGAAAACATTTGTAAGGAGATTTTGGACTAATGTATCACAAAGGAAGTTACATGCAAAAGGGAAGAGATTCAGACTGAGGGTATTCACTGGTTCAGGGGTAGGCAACCTCGGCTCTTTTATGACTCGTGGACTTCAACTCCCAGAATTCCTGAACCAGCATGGCTCAGCATGGAAACCTCTCCCTTTCCCCTCAGCATGGCTGGCTCAGGAATTCTGGGAGTTGAAGTCCACGAGTCATAAAAGAGCCAAGGTTGCCTACCTCTGCACTGGTTCATCCTTCTTGGTGAACTCCTCAAACTTTGGAAGCTGAGCTTGCTTTTTGAGAAACAGAAGGCAGCATTCTTCGCTATATGCCAGCTTATTGTATTGCTGCTTTTGCAGCTCAGTGTGTAGATTGTCTGGGGAGTATTGTACCTATTTCAGACAAAGGTGAAAGTAGTATAAAGAGATTAGAACAGTGATGGCGAACCTTTTAGAGACCCAAGTGCCCAAAAACTGGCCCCGCCCCCACTCTACCCCCTGCCCTGCCCCCACCCCGCCTGCCCACAAGGTCACTCACTGCCTCCAGGGCCTGCCACAGATCGCCCAGGAAGCCCGACAGCACCATGGCCACGCTCTCTGCCCGTGCCCCGCAGCATCAACTGTGCATGATGGGGTGTGAGGGCAGAGTCTTGTCTACACTGCCTGGCTGCCATTCTTTGGCTGTGCTGCTCTACGTGGGCCACGCTCGGGGCGACTCTCCTCCAGGGGGCTGCTGGTGAGGAGGGGGCTGCGGGGAGGTGGGGCTGGGGCAATGGCGCACGTGCCCACAGAGAGGGCTCCGAGTGCCGCCTCTGGCACCCATGCCATAGGTTCGCCACCAGTGGATTAGAGTGTGTAACACTGAAAATGGTATCTCTGTCATCACCTTCAACTCTCTAAAACATGTCTGTCTCCAGTTTAATCAACATTGGTAGGAGGCAACTACTTGAAACTTTCTGATTTTCTATGAAAAGATTGAATTTTCAAAGATACGAGAAGCAGAACTAGAGTTGAAGTAGTTCTTCCCATGTATTAATATTCTAAACCAACCTTCACTGTGAAGGGTCTTTGGTGCTCTCTGAGCTTGGTTGTTTTCTTGCAGACATTTCATTATCCAAACTAGGTAACATCATCAGTGCTTCTTTTACTATCCTTGTTCTCTCCCAACATGTTGGATTACAATTCCCAAGTTCCCAGCTACCGTATTTGCTCTGGAGATTTTGAAACATTTGTCTCTCTAGTACTTTGAACATCTAGAATCACCAGTCATTATTATGGCTCTGAATATAATCAGCAACGCAATGATTGATGATGCTAGAAGATGCTTTAAGTCACTAGGGCAATGATGGCGAACCTTTTAGAGACCGAGTGCCCAAACTGCAACCCAAAACCCACTTATGTATTGTCGGGTGCTGGGTGGGTGTGGCCCATTGGGTGGGTGTGGCTTTGGGGTGGGTGTGGCCCATTGGGTGGGTGTGGCCCATTGGGTGGGTGTGGCCCATTTGGGTGGGTGTGGCAGACTGGGTGGGACTAAAAAGTTCAATCAATCAATTCCAACTTTGCAAGATCTTTTTTTTCCTGCGAGAAGTTGAAATTGATTGATTGATTGAACCTTTTTTTTTGCACACGGTGGCAGAGGCCTAAAGTGAAAAGGTTTTATAAAACCCAGCTGAAGGCCTAGGACTGGGGCAATGGCGCGCGTGCCCACAGACCGGGCTCTGCGTGCCACCTGTGGCATGTGTGTCACCACGCTCTACAGCAGTGATGGCGAACCTTTTAGAGATTGAGTGCCCAAACTGCAACCCAAAACCCACTTATGCATCATCAAGTTCCGAGTGGGTGTGGCCCATTGGGTGGGAATGGCCCATTGGGTGGGTGTGGCTGCGGTGGTAATGGCAGACTGGGTGGGATTAAAAAGTTCAGTCAATCAATTCCAACTTTGCAAGATCTTTTTTTTTCTGCGAGAAGTTGAAATTGACTAATTGAACCTTTTTTTTTTTTTTTTTTTGCACACGGTGGCGGAGGCCTAAAGCAAAAAGGTTTTATAAAACCCAGCTGAAGGCCTAGGACTGGGGCGACGGCGCGCATGCCCACAGAGAGGGCTCTGAGTGCCGTCTCTGGCACCCGTGCCATAGGTTCGCCACCACTGCACTAAGGGAACTTCTTCTTCAAAGCTGTAGTCCCAACTTATCTGGATGACACCTAGTTGAGTAAGGCTGTCCTAAATTCTCAATACAGTAACAAATATTCTTGCTGCAATGACCTAACATTCAATGTTTGTGCCTTTTAGGTAAAAGGCTCACAAGCCATGAATATCATCAGTGCCATTTTTGCGTTACTTGGAATATTGGCCTTTATCGTAGATCTGAGCATAAATGGGCCATTTCATTCAGATGATAATTACGAGTATTCACTAGTGATGGTAAGTGTCAATGGTTCAGACATAGTGTAATACTGCCAGACGCTAACAAAGGAATTATAAGGGTTGATGGTCTAGTTATTGTACATCTGAGAAGGAAAGCATCCACTTTCAAAGTAAAAGGATGCATCCAGCTAAAGAACATTTCATGTGGGCACTCAATCATGTATATCAGTGTTTCCCAAACTTGACAATTTTAAGGCATGTGGACTTCAACTCCCAGAATTCCACAGCCAGCATTGCTGGCTGTGGAATTCTGGGAGTTGAAGTCCACATGCCTTAAAATTGTCAAGTTTGGGAAACACTGATGTATATCCAGCACACCTGAAACCCAGATGAAGACACCTGAATCCAAACTGGTAACTGGGTTCAAGCTACGGTTAGCCAGGTTTCAGTGCCATCCTTCTGTAGTGTTATGCTGCATTATTAGACATGATTTCTTTAGCCTGGCATCTGTTTCTGCTTCTGGATTGGCTCTGTAGGGTGAATTGCTGTCCTTAGGATCACCTGATAATTTAATCACAATGGAGATGAGAAGGGATCTGACCCCCTCTGACTCTTGAAAGAAAAAAAAAATAAATGTTGAATATTCAAACATGTTCAGTTTGAAAAGGCTTTTGTTCACCAAGAATAGAGAAGGAATCCTGAACCTTTTAATTCTGAAGGGGACATTTGGTGTTTGGGGAGCTCTTGCAAAGGGCTGAAGGACAGAGAGGAAAATTTCCCAGTTCTTTTACCCAAATGTGACCTGCCATTCTCTCCCAACCCTCTTTCTACAGGACTTCTCTTCTCCCCCAATTACTTTTGCCTTCTTTCCCGCAATCGCTTTTCCCCCCTTTTAAGCAGCTCAGCTGTCTCTGGACTGCTGCTGCTGTTCATCACTGTTTTCTAAGAATAGCTTGCAGGACCATTTGAGATGCAGAAATATTTTTAGAAATGAAGATGCTGCTGCAAGCTACTGAACCAAAAGGAGATGTCTGCAAGAGTACTAGAGCGCCAAGATCTGAGACAGGACCCTGGGAACAGAACAAAGCAATTATATGGACTGAGGCAGCCCCTAAGTCTAGAGAAGTAAATGGATAGGTTGCCATTTGTTAATTGGCTTGTATCATTATGTTTCCTTTTGCGAAAAGACAGGCAATAGGATCGCCATTGTGCTGTTGACATTCACCATTGTGGAATTCTGCATTGCATCAGCAACTGCATATTTTTGGTGCCGGGCAACCCGCTCTGACTCCAATGAGGTGAGATTTACTACCCAAATTATAATTGCTGCTACATCTGTGAATTAGAGTTAGGTTGTTATTATTTTTTCGATTCTGATTAAAGTGTGTCAGTCATTGTGTGTCAGGGTTTGATGAAAAAAAATGGCATATTGTAGCCTGGATAGACAGATGAATGTGGATTAAACAGAATTAATCTGAGAGGGAATGAGGTCAGAAAATGAAAATATTTTTTAAAATGATCCAATCAGTGGAGTTTTGATGTTGTGGGAAGAAGAATCAATTCCTCAAATGAATGTGGGAAAAGCTGGGAAGGGAGGCAAGTCTAATGTGGTTTGTTTTCTAGGCTATATTGATCGACCCAAACACCGTCAGGACTGATAATGAAGTTCCTTCTGTAGAATCTTCCATACATTGTCTACCAAGCTCTAATGATGTAAGTTATGATTTAAAAATTGAGGCTGTGTAGAAGACTAGTCTGGAGGAATTTGTATGGAGAAATCACACAACTGCACTTCTTTGGGGGCATAAAAGTTAGCCTTTTCCTGCACGACAGAGATCCTTCATTTTTGTCAGTATTCTAGCTGGCAGGCCAATGAAAACAAAGGGACTGTCTCTCTCTACTTTCTCCTGTACTGTCTCCATTTAAGCCTGGAACAAGAAGACACGTGACTTGATATTTTTTGGCTCGGAGTAAAAGGTAATGCTTTCTTTTGCATGGGCTGTATATGGAAATAACATATGTGACACGTGGATTGCTAAGCTATCAAAGTGTGGTTCAAGGACAATCATGATACTTTGTTGGAAATAGTCACAAAATAGTTGGTGACCCAGACTGAGAATATGGAAGTGAAGCCAATAGATGCCCAATGTGGACATTAATGCATCTTTTCAGCTCTGACTGGCTCTGTTATTAACTTGGTACCCGTTGAAACCGAAACCAGTTCATGATGTTAATTTCTATTGGCCAAAGTCCTGTGTTGCAGCTGATTAATAAAGACTCTACCATTCTTAGGTGTACTGGCAAATGTCCAGTATATGCAACTGTCTGGGCCTCAGTCTCTGTAATTGATTCCCCCTTATGTTTTCTTATGGGAACTGGAGATCAGAATACTGTAGAAAGTAGCATCTGCAGATTAATTTGAGCAAAGCTGATTGGCTTTATATGAAGCATATCTGCAACTTTGGATGCTTGTTATTCTGTTTGCCATTCATATTTGCATTTAGTACATTATATTAAGATATTCATAGAACAGCCTTGGGAAATATTCCATCCTTTATTCTTTGCAAGTACCGCTTTTTTGTGACAGTCTCACTTGCAGCTTTGCTGAGCCAAAATTGCTGTTTCAGTTTCTTTTCACTGGCTGTACCATATAAGAATGTTTCCTCAGAGGGCAAAGCGCTCCCACCCCAGAACGTTAAATCCTAGTTCAACTTTATGTATTTCAAAGTTGGACATGCAGTTTAATACCTCCATGTCTTATAAAGAAAAAAAATGGCACAACTTTTAGTGGATATCCAAAAATCTTGGGCAGTATTTTGTAGTAATCATTTCTAATGATGGACCAGTAACATTTTTTTATATATCACTGAAGGCCAGCTGTTACCCTGATGCAGGGTCAGAAACACTGGAAGAAACATGGGACTATTACATGTCTGTTCTTACACTGATAACCAGACTGAATTGATTCTGGATTTAACCTACCATTCTCCAAATGGTTCCCTCCCAATGTTTAGGACTATAACTCTAATTAACTACAGCTAGTAAGTACAGCCAGCGTTCAGGGAGAATGTAGGGATACTGTAAGCAAAATTAAAAGTGACCTAAGCTTGGAAAGGCTGGCTTAGAAGAAATGGCTTTTCACTTAAAAATGTCTGCTGCAAGAAGGAAAGCATTTAGACTGGATCCTGACCCTTAGCCAAGTATGCAGCTTCAATGCAGAATGCAGGATTGCTACCTAATCCATCAGGAAATTCTCTTGGTCACACAGCACCGAAATGAGTTAGAGAGTCCATAAAATATGTGATGTTTGTGAACATGGATCATGGAATTTGCAATGGGGAATTTGATAGACCCTGGCCTTGGCCTTTAAAAATGTTGGGTTGAGATGTTTTCCCCTTTGTTTGTTTCTGGCTGCATATTATGTATTTTGTACTGTTTTAAGAGTTTGGAATTATCTGGCTTGAGATTGGTTTCCTTGGCTTCTAAGCATCTTGACTAATTTTTTTTCAGAGCACGTTTCAAGGGAAATTTCTACAATTTTAATACCTTTCTGTGAAACAGGGATACCTAACTTGGGTGACTTTCCTGAGGTCTGGTTCTTGTAACTGTTTATTCAATTTTAGACCAAGTTAAGTCTTAGATTTCTTCAGTGATTCACTATTTTTAAATCTGACCTTGTTTTTCATGAATGTTTTTAAAAACTGCAATAAAACATGTACTTGAGACAACTCATGTCTGTCCTTTGGCTTTTTTCTGATGCTTAATAAAGAATCACCTTCATAATGTTGAATGGTCTTAGCTTCTCCAGAAGAAAATGTTGGAATATGTTCTTTTTGTTCTAAGTAGGGTTTCCTGTTTCTTGTTACAGTTAAACAGTTAAGAAGTAAAGCACATGGTGACTGTACACTCTTTGATTTGTGGTGCTATATATAAACAGAATTTCTAACAGAAAATGAACTGGGGGAGCCCTGTTACTTTCTTCTGTAAGTGGTCTGACAGACAGATGTTACGTAAATATAAGAAGAAAATACATTTGTTAGTTCATAAATTTCTCAGGAATTGGAGAATCAGATTGGTGTGATGATAAAATCAGGCTAGAAACTGGGATCCTGAGAGTTCTGGTCCTACCTCAGGCAGAAAGCCAACTGTGTGATTACAGGTAGTCCTCGACTTATGACCACATCTGAGGCCAAAATTTCAGTTCCTAAGCATGATAGTTGTTAAGTGAATTTTGGATAATAATAATAATGATGATGATGATGATGATGTTGGAAGGGACCTTAGAGGTCATCTAGTCCAGGAAACCCTATATCATTTCAGACAAATGGCTGTCCAGTCTCTTCTTAAAAACATCCAGTGTTGGAGCATTCACAGCTTCTGGAGGCAGGTTGTTCCACTGGTTAATTGTTCTAACTGTCAGAAAAGTTATCCTTAGTTCTAGGTTGCTTCTCTCTTTGGTTAGTTTCCATCTGTTGCTTCTTGTCCTGCCTTCAGGCGCTTTGGAGAATAGATTGACTCCCTTTTCTTTAGGGCAGCCCCTGAGATATTGGAACACTGCTATCATGTCCCCCCTTGTCCTTCTCTTCATTAAACTAGACATACCCAATTCCAGCAACCACTCCATTTTACAACCTTTCTTGCCACAGTTGTTAAGTGAATAACCACAGTTGTTAAATTAGTTACATGGTTGTTAAAGGAATCTGGCTTCCCCATTGACTACACTTGTCAGAAGGTTACAAAAGGTCATTACATGCAACTATCATAAATACAGGTACAAGCCAGTTACCAAGTGCCCTAATTTTGTTCACATCACTGTGGGGATGCTACAACAGTTGTAAGTGTGAAAAACAGTCGTATCACTTTTTTCAGTGCCATTGTAACTTCAAACAGTCACTAAGTGAATGGTTGTAACTCAGGGACTACCTGTAGTCACTTTCTAGTCACTACAATGAGTCACTTTTTCTCAGCCTAGGAAAGAGACAAGGGCAAATTATTTTTGAAAAAACTTTCCCCCCCCAAATGCATAGATTTGTCCAGGCAATCTCTGAGAATCAGGCATAATTGAATGGAAGGAAAAAAAAAATCTTAAATTCCATATGCACACATATAGATACATAACTCCATGTCTGCTTTCAAATTTTACTTACCAAGAAATGATGGAATGCTAAAATGAAGCCCCAGCTTAATAGACAGGATTACACCTGATCTGCCTCTCTTCTGTTTTGATCTGTGGACTTACTGGTTTTTGGAGAAGTTCTGGGAAATGAAGCATCAGAAGCGACACATCAAGCACTGCTGGAGAAAGATGAAGAATTCACCTGATCATATACATGTAATGTCCATTGCTGGCTGTGGAATTCTGGGAGTTGAAGTCCACATGCCTTAAAATTGTCAAGTTTGGGAAACACTGTCTTATATTAAAGCTGACACAGTGGTGAAAAGAGTAACAAAATTTAATTATTCTTCCCTTCCATACTGCATTGGCAGAATGTGCCCAGTGACCTTTTTTTATGGTAACCTGGTCTCTCATGAGGGCTGAGGGACAGGAAGAACAACTGAAGGGCTACTGTGAAAAATATTCCAGGCATCTGATGGATTGATTAAGAAGTGCACTCTAGATGAACAATTCTATATCTAAGAAATTTGAGCCTGTGAATTGGACAGGATCCTCTGGGATGTCAGAGCTGCTTTCTATGTTTTAATTCAAGGTCCCTCCTGCTTAATTTTCCCAGGATATGAAAAATTGCTAGTTTTAAGTGATGCATTTGAATGAGTGGGGTCCTTCTGTTTACCTTCAAGAAGATATTGGTATGCTCCCTCTTCAAGAAGCCGCTGATGGACCTGGTCGTGTTGGATATTTTTTTTTTATCAGTTCTCAATCTTTGCTTTTTGAGAAAGGCTCCTTTCTAGTCAGGCTTTAGGATTGGGTACAACAGTAAGATAGCATTGATCATGCTTGTGGACAATCCTTGGTGGGTTTGGGATTGAAATGGTATGATCATCCTGGTCTTAGCTGCATGTGATACAGTTTCAGTATGTGTTTGATACCATCACGGTATCCTTCTGGACTGTCTTTGAGGGTTGGAAATAGGGGGTACTCTTTTTTTTACAATAGTTCTTCTTTGGGGGCAGTTTCAATGAATATTGGTAAGTGGGGAGAGATCTACCCCAAGGCCCTTTCTTTTGTGGAATCCCCAAAGTCTCAACATTCTCTCCACTCCTATTTAACACCTACATCAGTGGTTCTCAACATTTTCTTCATCATGGACTCCCCCTTTAAATACCTTTTGTGGACATGGACCATGGCCACAGACCACCAAATCTTAACTCAAGATTGAAATCATAATATTTCTTCAATCTTTCACTGACCCCGTGATGACATTGCACGGACTGCAGGCTGGGAACCAATGATCTACATGATAAGTGAAGTTATCCATTTTGAATGAGGTCAGGTATCATCAGTAGGCAAATGATATCCAGTTTTACATCTTGTCCCCAGGTGGGGCAGTGACATCTTGGACTGGAAATTCTGTCCCAGTGCATGGAGGCTATTAGTGCTTGAAAGGGGAAGAACAAGTTTAGGTTGAACCCTGCCAAGACTGTGAGTGGCTTTGGTTTCAAGGAACTGCCGCTCATAATGATTTACCATCTTTAATTCTCAGCAGAATGGTATATAGAACTGCTTTATATAAATTAGGATCCTCTTGGACTCCTGGCTCCTGCTCAGTGAGCAGGTGGCAGCTACGGTCAGAGAAACTTTTACAGAGAACCATCTTGTCTTTCAACTGCATCCTTTCATAGAAACGGAGGCACTTCTCACAGACACTCCTGCCTTAGTCACTCCCTTTATGAGTATTATATATAAGAGTTTTTACTTTGGCTGTTCTTGAAAATCTCATGGAACCTACAACTGGTCCAGAATATAGCCATATTAGCAATTATTATGCTTCTCATTTCACTCATATATTGTGAGCTGCATTGGCTACTGGTGGGCTTTGGGGTGAAATTCAAGGCTTGTCACCTTCTCAGAGACCCTTATAGCTTAGGTCAGTAATGGCGAACCTTTTAGAGACTGAATGCCCAAACTGCAACCCAAAACCCACTTATGCATCATCGAGTGCCGGGTGGGTGTGGCCCATTGGCTGGGTGTGGCCCATTGGGTGGGTGTGGCTGTGGTGGTAACAGCAGACTGGGTGGGAAAGTTCAATCAATGAATTCCAACTTTGCAAGATCTTTTTTTTTCTGCGAGAAGTTAAAATTGATTGATTGAACCTTTTTATTTTTTGCACATGGCGGCAGAGGCCTAAAGTGAAAAGGTTTTATAAAACCCAGCTGAAGGCCTAGGACTGGGGCGATGGCGGGTGTGCCCACAGAGAGGGCTCTGAGTGCCGCCTCTGGCACCCGTGCCATAGGTTCGCCACCACTGGCTTAGGTTCTCATTTCTGTTCTTCTCCTGCTATTCGTGCCCTATCAATAAGAGCTGGAAAAGCTGGCAAGCATTCTCACTTGCAGGACCTAAGAGATGTGACTTCTCTGCAGATGTGTCTGCCCTGTGGAAAACAGCATGTCCCCTTACAGCCACATGCCCTAAACTGTATTTGGATTTTGCAGTGCTGTAAAAATCTGGCTCTTTCATCTGTCCCTAGAGAAGTTGGACAGGTGCCGGGCTTTTTTTCTCATAGAACGCCCAGAACAAAGTTCAGGCACCTTTTTTGGATGGAACCTTGTAGGGTAGGCAAGGCAGGTTGCATAATGTGTGTGAGTTCCGGCACCTTTTTTTTTTTTTTTTTACGAAAAAAGCACTGGACAGGTGTATTCTTTATGGGTTTTGGGGGGAGGCTGATAGGGGATATGTTTTACTTGTTCTCTTCCATGATATATGTCATGCATTCCCCTAGTCTTATTCATTTGCTTTTAGCTGTTATTTATTTGATGTATTAACCCTGTGCTATAAGCTGCCTATTATTGAGGTTTTATTGAAACCGAATAAACAAATAAACATATAAATAAAATTCTACCATGCCAAACATAAAAAAATCCAGAGATATGTTCAGAATGATAGCTTGCTTCACTCCCTATCAAAAGACATTTGCATTTTGTTGCTATCCAATATTTCCCTCCATAATTTTGGAGGCTATTTGTTTAAAATCAGTAGCTAAACTAGAGAATGGGAGATAATTATTCATTTAACTTTTAAATATAAAGTTACCTCATTTGTATTTCCAGAACCAAAATGCTGTTAAATCTCAAATGTGCTGTTTTTTACGCTTTATTAATTTTCAAATATTTAGACTTAAACTAACATATTATTTACTATTCAGGTGCTCCTAGTTTCTCTTATTTATACATGTTATTTCCATAGCTAAATTCTTACATTTCTCAACTATATTCTGTTCTTATTCAATAATTCTCCAATTATTAATTTCATCTCTTCCATTATTTCAATCTTTTTCTCATTATACCACATGTAATATTAAAAACACCTAAAGAGATACCAGAAAAGGAGAGAAAAAATAACATAAAAGAGAAAAAAAACATAAATAAGCCAAGAGGAAAGAACAAGAGAAAGAAAAAAAGAAGGAAAGAAAAAGGTAGAAAAAAATAATCTATCATTCCAGAAAACATATTCTTACAATATTTCGATAATAAGTTCTAAATCTTTTCATAATGACCCCCCATTGACAAAATCCAAATCCAAATCAATCCGAGTCTCTATAAAACCTTTACC